ACACACACACACACACACACACACACACACACACACACACACACACTTGATGACTTGCTGCATGTACTCCTTTCCTTATTTGAAAGCACTCATGTAACCTGAATATTGATGACTTTTATTAGTTTGCTGTTCCTCTTTCATTCTATAGATCTATGCTCGTTTAGTTTCCAGCTTTGGTGGCCCATCTGATCTGCCTGTACTCTATTAGAGCTGCATTTTATAGGTGTGTTTATTAGGTGTTTTTAATGGATCTTTTGCTCTCATGAAGTTAACTCAAAGCATTCTGCACTTTCTCCCTTCAGCACATGCCACTGGATTTAAACAAAATGAGAACCTTTTCATTTGTATGTTCTGCTTTTGTGCAGGTCTCTATTTTTGTGTGAGGAGTTGGCTCCCTGAAGCCATTCACTGAGTTTGTGGGCTGTGCATTTTTCCCTCTCCCTGCATTGTCCTGAAGGAGAACAGAGGTCTGTGATTGGACTCTTCCTGCTCCACTGTGAACCAGTGCAAAGGCTGCACCTGAGCTAAGCAACCAATAGGCCGTCTGCTCTCTCAGTAGCAGCCTGCAGAGCCACAGGATGACAATACACACTCTGTAGACACCCAGCATACTGTACCAATACCTCCCTCTCTTTCACACATACAAAACATTTAGCCAGCTTGTCAAAACTTAGCTACACAACATAATGCAAACCTTTTTTCACTTTTTTGCTGTTTAAATGTTTATGCACAGGCCTAAAATTTTCACTTTGTAATATAAAATGTAATTTCATGTGCTTAGTATCGGATCTAATTGGTTTCTAGCGGTTTCACTTGTAAAATAGATCAGCACATTGTTATCCAAGTCAGCTTCTTCAGAGATGAGAAGGTTTCTTGAGGTCATGAGTTCATTTCTTCCCCATTATATTAATGTCATATTTTAATCTCATGAAGCAAGCATAAGATCAGCAGACTTATTTGAGTAGTACCCTTAAAAAGTGGAAAATTGATGTCAGAGTTTGAGTTCCAGTGCTGCAGTTCTTTATACACTTAAATTAATTCTAATTTAGCGACAGACAAAGAACACGAGGAAAGATGATAATATGAATTTTCACGTTTTATAAATCAGAAGAACTATTCATGGTGATAATACTACAATTAAAAGTATCACTTGTATCATTGAACCACGTCAAAAGCGATTAAGCATCAGATATGAATAAGTGCCCACATATATGTTTCGTAAACAAGCTTAACCTCTGTGCCGTCATTCAGCTGCATGTAACATGATCATTTTTACAGTTTGTTTTTATTTTGTTTCGTGTCGGGTCGGTGCTACTTTAAAAAAATACACTTTTTTGTTTATTTCAATCAAATCTAATGAAAAGCGTTTTTTCCTTTTCAGTGTCACCATTACTGTCGGATAAAATGTAAGTGAATAACAAAGTGTGCCAGTCGCCTCTGACACGAGCAGAAGCAGTCTGTAATGTTTCACGAAACTGAAAAATCCAATAATCATAAGTTTGGTCTAAACATTTGCTGAACGAGGGTATTTAGCTGCTTTTCGATTGCAGGGCTTGACTGCTTTATCCGAGTGTAGCTGTAAGAAAAGCAAATGTAAAACTGTTAATAAACTACCAGTTTCTCCATGCAGTTACATAAGTAACCTTACACCCGGAGGCAGTAGAATATTTGTGTAATCTGGGGCATGCTGACTGATGTGAGACTAGATCCCAGCAGGCTCTGAAACCTCTCCTACAGGCCTGCAGATAAGCAGAGCCTCTGCGCTGCTGTTTAGCTTTCACACAGTCCAAACAGGATAAGTTGCAGTTTGTCTCAAACGAACTGCGCATTTTCTCCTGTTTTCCTCCAAAAGCATAAATAACATCATAGAGCAGCACTGATCATTTAACAAAGTTGTGAATAATCTTGGCCTTTTTACCCCACGCCGTCACCAGTCATTAGTTATGATCCACGGGGCCTCCACAGGAGCCTATTGATCACTCGCTGACTGATTGATTTAGACAAATACTTTTTTCTCCCAGTGTGCGAGGTCGACTCGCTCTCCCTGTTAATTGAAGATAACAGAGTGGCAACAATGGCCCCCGTAACAGAATGAGAGTCCTGTGATTGTCGCTGCAGAAAGAAAAGAAAAATGAAGAAGAAGGGGAGGAGGACGAAGAGGAGGAAGAGGGGAGACTCTCTAATTAGGAAGCGGGGCGGTGTGGAGGCTGTGGCCGGCAGGCAGGCGACAGACGCCGGGTCCCGGACAAAAGGCTGTCTGCTGCCCTAAACTCCCCCTGCTTAACCCTTTAAACCGAGACACACACATGCAGTGACACACATAAACACACACACTGCTGAGGCCTCGGCGCAAGTCACATTTCTACTGAAGATGAGTTCATGAATGTACAGGAACACACACACAAATACGCAGCACTAACGAAATATTGCATTCATTCTAAATACTTTAGGCTCAAACTCCAAACACCATGCATGTTTGGTTTCATAATACAACATTTATTTCCGCAGGTAAAAACACGTTCTGTTTCACACTCGTCGGTCGGACTCTGAGCTGCTCTTTGCTTTAAACAGTTAAAGCTGCTCTCCGGCTGCAGCGGATGTGTGCGAGCGCAGCAGAGAAAGCTCTTCCTATAAATACTTCCATCACTTCAGTGTTTCTAAAAATACACACAATGCTAAAGGAAATGCTGATTGACGGCGACCGAGGACCTGCTCGAAATAGAGCTGTGTGTACAGAAGACAGGTCCAGGAACTAAAACGATGTGACAGACTGCTGCAACAAAACACAAGAAAATAGAACATAAAAATGCAAATATAGAGGGGCAAAGCCTGCTCTTTAATTCGTTTGCTCATGTAAAGTCTGGAACAATAAAGCACGCTGTAATAGTCATAGCTGTAGTCTTAATGCAAAAATTCTGCCAGCAATTTTGACCCACAAATTTCACCATGCAATTTAAATCTGTTTTTAATGACATGCAAACTCGACCCAGACACATTTTCTTATCAAATTTAGTAAACCACACTTTTTCCTCCTGTTCGATATGTGGCCGACAGGGGGCGCTCCTGCCCCGCGCGTACGCGTGTGTGTCTACAAGCAGGCCCTTATTTGTGTGAAACCTTAGCTTAGATGACTTCATTAAAAAGGCTCCAAAAGTGGTGACAGTTGGTAGAGTGAGGTGATAATAATACTAATACTAATAACAATAATAATAATAATACAACCTTTCGCACAACATTTTTTTATTGAAATTGTGAGACAAACGAGAAAAAAAAAGAAAAAAGAAAGAAAGAAAAAAACAAAAAGAAAAAAAATACCCGGACAACCAGCATAAACAAGATATTTCCAACTTTAAATATATTTATGAATAGATATGAACGATGCGCCCATAGGAGGAATTACTTTGAATGTCTCCTGGCTGAAGTGAAATAACCTGAGGTGTTTTAGAATCCATGTGGAGCTCTCTCTATCTCTGTTCCTCTGTGTTTGTCGGTGGATGCAGACTAAAACATGGCACACGTCTCCTAAAAAAAGTCATCGATGCTTCATACACAGTTTTTTTTTCTTTTTCTTTTTTCAAACCAACAAGCGCTAAATAGCTTTCATGTACAGTATATGTAAAACGGGGCGGAAGGAGGAAGAGGAGGGGGCAGGATAAGTAAGAGGGGGTTCCATTCGAAATATATACACGCTAATATACAGCCTTGAATAAATTAATACCAATTGCATATTCTTGGATCTTAGCTTTATTTACAGATTTTTTTTATTACATAAATAGTTCAGAAAGATTTTTTTTTTCTGGCATTAAATGATAAACGGTTCTTTCTTCCTCTCGCAGGCGGGACGTTCACCTTCCATCCCTTTTGAAATAATCAGACTTGCCTGTCGGCGTCGTAAGCCTCGTGTTCAGGCGTGGAGTTTAGAAACCAGGCTCGGATGCTCAAGTGCTTCAGGTTACCCAAACTTTACAGCACACACTTTCCACAGTGCCCCACGCACAGTGCGGAGCTGCAGGCTCTCGGGCAGGTTAGACCGCTATAAGAGGCCGATAGTGGCCTTGCGTGGTCCACCTGTGATATGACATGATGACATTTAATTCACTACTTGTTTGCTTGTTGTCACTGTGACTCTCTGATAGACGTCCTTGGCCTTAGGTTAAAGGGTTTTGTTGTGATTATTTAATTCTTTATTTTCCTCACATTTGAGTTATTTCCTTATTATTCTTTTCTAAATCGTTTTTATTTAATGAGTGTAGAATTGCAGCAGGGATTTTTTTTTTCTGTTTTGTGTTTTTCTTTGTTCTGGTGGGTCTGGCCGTCTTCAAAAGCTAACCCTAAAAACACTGGGATTTCAGGGAGGACTTTGGTGTCTGATGGTGCTGAAGCTTTTCACGCTTTCCAACAGGTCAGCTCTGAAGGAAACTTTCAATACTTGTGAATTGAAAAAGATTAAATATAATTACATAGACTATATTTCTGTCTACCTGCAGCTTTGTTCCAAAAAATAGTCATAATTGGCCTTCATCAACGCCCATCAGTCATGCCTTCATCCCAGTCTCTGTAATGTGCTGTACAGGACATATGCACTTATAGTCCTCTAGTATTCAAGCCAAGTCTTCATCCCAGACAGAGAGTCTTAATCACTTGGGACAGTCTGTATTTGGGGAGGGTTCCCTTTGGCCCTCCAGGCCGCTAACCAGTCTCTGGATGCTCTGCAGCTCGTTCACTGAGTCCTTCACGGAGGTTTTGGGAGACGTGACCCTCCCACTTGAGCCTCCTGTCTTGTGATTGCTGTGGTGCTCCGGTGCTGGGCTGGTTTCCCTACTGCCCGGTTTGGAGGACTCTGAGCCTGGGTTGATGCTTCCCTGCAGGCTGGTGGTGAGCAGGCTCGAGCTTTGAGGCAGAGACACCGGGAGCTGGTAGGGGTTGAAGCGGAGCCGTGGCCTGGATGAGCCGAGGAAGGGGTTCCTGGAGAGCGGACTGGATGTGCTGGTGGCTGGGAGGGCTGAGGCTGAAGCTGCTGCTGCAGCTGCTGCCATGTAGGTGTAAGGATACGGGAAGAGACCCCCAAATGGAGGCATGGGGATGCCCTGAAAGTCGAACAAGGAAAGACACATAGTCAGTGCAAAGATCACTGATGTGGGACGATCATCAAAGAATCTCTTCTATTCACCTACTCACAAAAACATCAGATTCTTCCGTTTTCTCAGACTGTTTAAAACTGATTTAAAAAGCACTGAAGCAGTAATATATTATTCCTGGGTTTTGTTTATTTATGTATTTTTACAAATAGATGATTCTACATTTCAAAAGGTGAATTTGATAAGTGTACTGTTGTTTTAATCATCAACAAACCTAAATTCCGAGCTTGCTGAGTGTAGAGTTTATTTCAACAATCACAGTGTGAAGAAGGCAAAGTAAATCATGTCTATTTCCCTGTCCTGCTGACGTCACATGACTGCTACAGGTGTGGAGAGGGACTAAATCATTTAAGTGGGCGGCTTTCCTTACCTGAGAGGCAAGCATGTGCTGGGACAGATGGAAGGGGAAGGGGTTTGGGGTTCCTCCTGTGCCCTGGGTGGAGAGGCTGCCATTTTCCAAACCACTTGTTCCAGATACAGAGGCCAATAGATGCCCCATGCCCATAGCGGAAAAGGCTCCAGGGGCCATGGCAAACTGCCCAGGGTGAAACAACAGTGGCGATCCGGTGTTCAGAGGGTTAAAGAACTGCTGACTGTGCAGGCCAGACAGAGCCAAGCTTTGTAAATGGCCTGGGCTGAAGTGTGAGGGGCTCTCGGTCTGGACTACAAGAGGGGAGAAGGCATCCTTAGTGGCACTGATGCCTCCAGCCTCCGAGTCCTTTGTTAACACGTCTGTGGTGTCCTTCCTGTGCCTGCTTTCCACTTTGTCCTTCTCGAGGCTCCTTATACTGAATAAAGAGTCATCCTTCTTCTCAGCAACGGCTCTTTCCCTCATGCGCTCCTCACACCTGGAGCTGTAGGGGGACACAGGTTCGGGTCCCGGGCTGTTGGACCCAGTGCAGCGCTCATCTTGATGCTCCAGCTCTTGCTCGCTGTCAGTGCATGTTTTATCATCTAAGATGCAGAAATCAGAAAGCAGGACACATAAGCACCAGTCCTACACTCTAACCCACACACAGCAAATCATGTGGTCACGAGGCTGGTTGGGACGCTCTCTCCAAATCCACCTTGTATGTTCCAGTCTTTGAGAAAATAACATTTAACCAGCATTTTAAATATCGTATTAATTTTGAAAAATATTGCTTGTCAGCCTGTGTGTAATGTTTTAGTGAGCAAAGATTGGAAAAATGAACATATTTAAATTTTTATCAGAGCCCTTTAAAACTAAATGCTGAGACCTAACGAGACTCACATATAATGGACTATTTCTGAACTTTTATAATCGAGTTATAACATTCAGATGAAAATTTGAATTTCAAATCCCACGGCAGTCCAAAATTAGGCTAATTTTACTGTCTTTATACACAGTTCTTACCAACAAAATTAACAAATTAAATAAAGGCGGGTCAGTGCGTTATCCGAGGCAACCTTTGGTTAACAGGTGAGGAATGCAAACCAAAAACCAACGCAAATCCAACAGTAATATGAGTAACAACCAAACAGTTTGGAGGTCAGAGTCCTGTGGCACCGTTTAAAGACATGTCGCTGTTTTATCTGAACGCACCACAGTCCAAAAACCAAACAAAAACTGAATCGCAAAAATCAAATGCCACAATAAAAATCTAGAACTAATAGTGTAATAATAATAAAATAAATAATGCATGTATGACAATAATGCATCTACTTTGTGTCACTGTTTACTTTGCACTCATAATTGAGCTCATTTAATACTTTATCACTTTAAAATATGAAATTATTTCATAACCTAAACGATCATTGCAGCAGCTCGTGATTATTAACGCACCCCGCTGTCATGAAATCCAACAAAGCCCCTGCACCAAAGAAAAAATAAGCGGTAGTATCACTAACCTCGACTTGGCCTGCTGAACCTCAGCGGACTGGTACCCGCTCCCAGCGGGGAGTGGACCGTGTCCCTGCCGGCAGGAGCTTCACTGGACGAGGCGTCCGAGTCCGCGCCCTCCCTGTCCGCCTTGCACTGGTCCTCGTACATCCGCAGCGAAGGCATGGACAGCTGCTTCCTGCAATAATAATAATAATAATAATAATAATAACAAATGAGTTGTCCTTGCTGAATTAAAAAAAAGGCCGATACTCAAAGCGCGCAGGCACACACACACACACACACACACACACACACACACACACACACACACACAGGGAGCAGGTGTTATACAGCAGTTTGTACCTTTTCTCTCTCCTTCCGTTTCCCGTGTCTCTGAAACCTTTGGCGAACGGGTTGTTGTCGATCTTCAGCTGTGTTATCTATCCAAAATAGAAGGACGGGAGCCGTTTTATACACAGAGAACCACAGGAAAACACACACACACACACACACATTGTTAGGCCCCAGTGTCTCCACCTGGTCCACATGTATTAAAACAATGCCTTTGGATTAACACACATACAGCGTAGACCTCGGATTTGCATTATTAATTAAAACGTAATGATGGTGCGTTATTCACATAGGCCCCCAGAGAGAAATTCTGCCACGAAACATTCCTCTGTGGGGCCACAGAGGCCTTCGACCCCCAGAAAAATGGCGGAGGATGCTATACTTGAACAGATAACGCTCATATCAATAATTAATACGGCGGTTTGGAACACTGCTGCCTCACAATATGTGGAGGAGGCCTGTGTGGCTCCGTGTATTTGAAGGAGCCACACAGGCCTCGGGGGAGCTTCCGTGCTCCTGGAGGCCCTCCGTGGCCCCAGAATTCAACGCTTCAGGCGCTTCCAGTTTGAGTAGCGAGTCTGAGCATCTGCCCAGTCTAGCTGCAGTGTGACCAACCCTTTAAATGCCTCCTCAATTGTGTCTTTTTGCCATAAACGTTTAGAACATGACCCCCGCCCCTGGACACGAGTCCCAATTAGCTTCAAGAAGGAGGCGAACGAACAGCCAAGGGCTTCAAAATAATGCCATCATTTTTTTTTTTACAAATTCAGGTGGAATGATTAGCTTTGATATGAAAATAAATAAATACATAAATAAATGACTCTAGTGTCACTTTGACAAGACAAAACTTTCAAATATGACGCCAGTCATTTTTAACGCAGCGTCACAACATTCATAACCTCCTTTCTCCAGCATTTATACGCCTAATTTATTCACTTCTGGACAAGGTAATAGCCCATTTATAGCCCGTGAATAGCCGATAACACACACACACACACACACACACACACACACACACACACACACACACACTCCATTTGAATTCATAGCTAGATATGTCGGCTGCAGCCACAAATCCAAGCAAAACAGCAATTAAAAAAATCCAGAGGGACATGGGAGTCCTCTGCAGGGAAATTAGGCGACCTACAAAATCAGATTAAGTCTTCGGGGGTTGGTGGCGGGGGGAGAGGACGCTGATGTAGGACGTTTATTTAGGATGTTTATTATGCAAAGTATAGCAGCCATATTAGAGGCCGTCGGTGGAGTGTGAACGCTGACTCACCTTGTCGTTCTGATATGCTGTCACAGCCACGAACTCGGTCTCGGGGAACACGTACGTCCTGAAGGTGCTGTAGGGAAGCTTCAGGATGTCGTTGGCCCGCACTATGTGGAACCTGGGCTGGTACTTGTGCATGGAGTTCAGGATCGTCTGGACCAACACACACAGAAAGCGAAGCTTTCGAGTGAATATCACGGCATGTTTATGTCTCTCTCTCTCAGATGCTCAACCTCGACACCAGGCAGAATCTGTTGCAGGCGGATCATCCAGCGCATTGTTATTGATGCTGTTATAATTACTGTGTAAGCAGCCTGGTCTGTAATTAGTGCGGGGCAAAGGGAAAAACCTTACCAGGCCACACATGCTGCCATGAGGAATCAGAACCACAGAAAAAACGATTTGATCCAATTCCTAACAGCACAAAGAGCTACAAATTTCACAAGTACACACGCACAGAGCGGCGTGGAGTTACTGCCCGGTGGTCTGTTTTGACGCATCAAAGACATCACACGCAAAACTTAAAATTCCCCCAAAATGGACCGGACACAAAGTGACAGCAAAGATACAGAAAACCAAAAACTTTAGGTGACTGTACGAGGCAATGCAAGCCCGAATCAATGCTGCACACACCAAGAAAATCTGCTTCTTAGCTATTGCAAATTATTTAGACTGACGCGTCATGTTCCATTTATTTGCAGTAGAAAGCACACAAGGCTGCCATTCAGATACACACTGCAAAATGTGATAATATGCCCCTTTGCAAACTGGTAGCGTTATTATTTATTTTATTTATTTATTTGATTTTAAATGCTTTGTAAAAAGACAAAGTAAAGCCAGTTATTTTGGATAAAACACACTCCACAAATATAGAAATGAAAAAATAAAATACACAATATATGCAACAGCCATATGAGGTTACTAGCTGGAGGGAGCGTTTCGCACTCACTTCATGTTATTTCTTTCTGACCCGATTTGGTAATACACCACTTAATCCTCAGCCTCGCAAACAGTCGGCTTAGATATGCTGGGTTTTTCTTTTCTTTTAAGTTCCCAATACAATCGGGCCTAAAACAAAGGTGTACAGTAGGGAGGTGCAGTGCAAACTACGGTCAGGGGGTAAGGAGGCCTGTAGGTGCTGCAGCTCAGGCAGCTGGGCCTGGCTTTGGATATCAAGGTGGAGAAAAATGCAGAGCGGCGATATTCTGCAGAACATCGAAGAGACACAAGTTCCAAGTCAAGTAGCGACAAAGTGACAAAGCTTTGGGTGTAAAGACGCTACATATTATATTCTCCGTTAATTTCATTTTAGAATACTGTAGGAGACGATGGTACTCTGAGCAGATTTATGTCAGTGCTCCACGTCTCTCAGCTTTACTGAAGCTACTTGATCATTTTTCTGTGGCAGTTTCATACTAGAAATTCGCTCTGTGCTCTTTTTTTTCCGGATTTTTTTTCCTGTGATCAAACATTCACTATCACCCATTTCCCCTCACGTCTTCCAAAAAAATAAATAAATAAAGTAAATAAAAAATCCATAAATGTTGAAAATGTTATCTCCAGTATTTCAACACTCAGTGCAGCGTGTAAATATGAAAAATATCCGCCCTGCACAGAAGAAAGAAAGGAAAAAAACTCTATTTGTACTTACAAATCCATGTTTGTCCGAGATGTTGTTGGTCAGCTTGAGTTTATGGAAAGCAACAGGCTTGGCCATCCACTGCTCGCCGGTGGCCGGGCTGTCCGGGTGGATATACATCCTCTTGGGCATCTCGGGGTCGGCCTTGCCCGCCACCATCCAGCGGGAATTGTGGAACTTGTAGCGGCAGTCGTCCGCGGCCACGATGTCCATCAGCAGGATGTATTTGGCTTTTTTATCGAGGCCGTTTATTCGCACTTTGAACGGAGGGAACATCCTCCTGCGGAAAGAAACACACGCCGGGAGTCAACACGCCGCGATACAACCCGAACACAACTGCACATTATCCTGCAACATTTGAGCAAATTTGACAAAAGAGGCGTTGAGGGAAAAACGCGGCGCTCGTACAGGCAGAAATATTGCAATTGTCAGACATTCTTCTCCAAAGCTGCACACTGTTAGGCGACAGCAACACAAAAACACAGTGCGTGTGTGTGTGTGTTTCTGTGCGTGTGTGTGTCCAAGCCATCCACTACAAAGCTGAGGAATATATTTATGACCACACCACCTCATGTCCCTGCTTTTTGAAGTGACAGCCTGTTTATAAAACCCAGAAGCTCTGCTGCCTCCACAGAATGCAGTTTAGGAGATAAAACCTGATCAAAGCTCTTACCACATTTCCCCCAAAATATCCCAGATATGTGCTGTGGTCACGGTGGAAGTAGATGACAAATATTTCAAGACAAACGGGAGCTTTATTCAATAACTGGCTCCTCTCCCACAAATGTAGATGTGGCATAGTTATTTAAAACGACATTTAAAACTGCTATTTAGGGTATAATTACTGGTAAATGCCGTGTTCTCGCTGTTTTTGTTAAATATAGTTTTTATTTTATTTTTTTAAATAAATGAGCAAACCAACAATCACTGCAAAAATATGTACCGACCGTGCAAGGCCTGATAAAGAGGCTGCCGTTTACTGGCATTTTAGCTGCTCTAAAATTCTCGAGTAATTCTCCGAGCTTACTTGGACTAACCGAAAAGGGTTTAAACTGTATGGAAATAAAAACACGTTCTCCGGATATCCGTGAGCGATCCGCTCACGATATATGCATCGGGCGAGAGTTCTTACCTTCCTGACTTGGTAATAACCATCTCCGTTCCGAGTTTGTGAAACTGGTCCCAAAGATCCTTGGCTTCCAGTGTAACTTTTGGATCGTCGTCCACTTCCTCCTCGGGCTCCAGGCTTTTCATGCTGCGGAGATGAGCCGCCTGATGGTGACTGAGAGCCGGGTGGAGCCCAGCCTCCGCCGCCCCTGCCAGGCCGTGGTCCGTGATCGGCTTAGTGAGAGCACCGGGAGGGAGGCTGAGCGCCGGGAAGAAGGAAGGCTGAGCGGCCGCTAGAAAGGCGGACATGGGGAAATCGGTCGGCCGGTGTGCGTGGAAAGGGTGATAAGCCATTGCAGTCCCTGTGAAAACTGGATCTCTCATCGGTGCATCCACAAAAAGCGAAGTGAAATAACAGATATTTTAATGGTATCTCCCCCCAGCCCAGAGCCAGAAGATCCGCTCTTCGACAGCACTCAGTAATGTCTGTAAAGCGGCACAGTGAACACACAGCGCGTTATCGGGGTGAAGAAAATAGCCCAGAGTTGCTGCTGATGTGCGTTTCCTTTGGTTCCTGCACCGAGTCCGTCAGCAGAAGTGGCGCTTCAGTAGAAGGCAGAGCCCGGCTGCGCTGTGTGCCTCTCAGAGAAATAAGCAGTTTCTCAGTCATCCCACACTGACTGGAGAGATGTGGCCCCGTTCACTGCAGATCTGTGACTATCTCACATGTCCTTCCTGCCTCCATCCCCAACACTAATGAACCAAGCCCCTTTGATTGCTGATTTTACGCTTTCTGGACCAATTGTGGGCCCCTATAGGCGTGGTTCTGACAGCTCCGGCCAGACTCTAGGAGAGGAGGGGGGACAAGAAGGTGTCGGAAGCATTAGCAGTAAGAAAACATGTCAACAGAATAAAATATTAACCAATGACAGGAAAGATCGGGAAATCCCACCCCCATTTCTAAGCCAAACACCGGGTCAGCCCTTAGCTCTTGGCCGGTGGAGGCATCACCTCTCTCGGCTAGCTTTTTTATAATGTCGCCTGCGGAAAAAAACCCAACCTGTCCACAGACTCGGTGTCTTAATACTCACCTTCATACAGAGGAACAGCCTCACTTCTCCATATTTGCCACAGTGTTTTCGAACATGTCACAGCAGTAAATCTCGCAGCTCATGCTCTGCATTCCGGAGAGATTTCTTCTCAAGAGCTGCTGCTCTCTCGGTCGCTCTATAGTCTCTATAGAGACTTCGTAATTATAGCGTCGGCTGTTTTGACGATTAGGCTGGATTTGCCTCACACTAGTCCAGGCTATGTTAACTGTGTGTATACTGAATCGAGACTCAAACAGGCTCGATTTCCCCGGGCGGGAGCCGCGTATCTGTGCGTGTTCCTGGTGGGGCTGACGGGGAGGCGGCGGCAGAGTAAAGCGGGCTGGAAAAGACCAACTCTGATGCTGCGTGGAGCAAAAACAGAGGAAGCCCGATGAATAATGATGCGTGAATTTTGCGAGAAAAATGAGGGAGAAAAAAGCGGTGAGTGCTCACTTCGATACCAACTCTTCCTTGTTTGGCTGCAGATGAAGTTTACTGCATGTATTTGAACTTGTTATTATTGTGTCGCTGCTTTATTCCTGCTGTTGCGGTGCTGCTGGCTGTCGGAGGGATTACTTTATTTTTTATTTTTTTAAAAATATTTTTAACTCCGATATCAAACAGCGACGAGATGATTTAGAGCTCAGTCTGAGTTTGGGGCAGGCCGTGGTGGCGTGTAATCTCCGACAGGTTTTATTTTGTCAAACCAAGAGCAGTGCGGGACTCCAGGAGCCAGGAGGGGGTGGTGGTGGTGTGGGGCACCAGCCTCCCAGCACTCTGCTCTGCGGAGCTCCTTCGGCAGAATCCAGTGAACTCGGACTCGGTTTGTTAGAGAGTCGCTCGGCGCCGGTCGGCTGATGCGCCGCAGTAAGAACAATCTCCTGTCTCTTTAGATTTACCCTCAAGTGCTGTGAAGCGAAGCCTCATCTGCGGCTCTGCTCCACTGTCCTGCCTCGGTCATGACTCAGTGTCGGATCTGAGTCCCCCACCCCCCCGCCTCCTCGTTTTGGATAAACAGCTGCCCTCTCCGGGCTGGGACGATCGCGAGTGGGCCGCAGGCGTCACTTGGACAAAAACTGAAACAAAAAGTGTTAATCCCTCTGAATAAGTGTGTCAGCGACAACTGCGCATTTCCGATGAACCCCTGGAACTTAGCCGCCTCTGTGGCTTCCGCTGACACCCGCACAAAATTCTTAGTAGCCATCTAAATGTCTTCAATAACAAATCTAAACATCAAAACAAACAAACAAAAAATAGAATAAATAAAATGAAATAATCAAAAGACGAAATGCTTCTAAACTACCAAGTAATCCGTTCGGCCTCAAAACAAAAAAGACAAACCGAAAAGAAAAGTGTAAACAAAACGATTTGATGTCTCCAAACCGACACCACGATTCGGCTTGTGTGTCAGATACAGCATGTCATGTGATTTAAGAGCATGGGATGTCTGCACATCTCTGTGTTACACACTTGTTGCTCGGCTCCCATCATACAGCCATGCGTAAAAGAGTCAGCAGGCCAGAGAGAGAGTAGCTCCGGTGAACGGGGCTCATACACCTGAATGAAGCCGTTTCCACGAGCCCAGTGGATCCCACACACATCCCCGAAGCGTCATGCGCTCCCGCACGGCACACACATCAGCAGCACAGAGAGTGTCAAGGTTAAGAAGAGCTGTTTCAGACTGAAAATAATTAAGATGGGTGTTGTTGTGGTGTGTATCTAACAGCTGACTCGTCCCTAAAGCTGCTTTTTTATTTTTTGAAGACGTAGGAGACTTTGGGAGCTGCTCACTGGGCTTTACTGTGACACAAATGAAAACAGATTAGCAACATATGGAGGTGGATAACGGTTTTTCTGTTGGAATGCTCAACGGGATAATTGTATCAACAATGCTTTTACAAATTAGTCACCATTTATTTGTTCTGTGCCTTCAACGGTACAGAAATCTCCATCAAGCGCGATTTAAAAGTCATTAAGTCAAGGCAGCAGAGCTCCAGGCTGCTGGGAGCTCTACGTGGAAGGGGCATCGGCCTGATAGATTAACGCGTCCTGTGTGTTGTGGATTAATGGAAGCAGACAGTAAATATGCTCCTTAGACTTGTTCTTTGGGCATGTGTTTGTCAGCTGGGGATGTGGATATGAAGCGTCTGCGAAGAAAAAATGCGCCAAAAATGAGCAAATTATCTGGTTTTGTCTTCAATTTCTGTTGTCTGAAAATGTATGTTTTTTAAATAAAATAATAAAAAAAATAAGGTCACATAGTTGTCAGAAACGAGCCTAGATGAGGACGTTTGGAGGCTTAAATCAGAGACCTTTGGAGCTGCTTGTCACACTTCAAGCTGCAGGCTCGTATTTACCGTGAATTAACTACTTGCAGGACGCTTTCCATACAGTAGGAAGTTGACTGAGGTTTTTCTGTGTCCTTTATTCGTCCGTTCAATACAAGACAATACAACTGTGCGTAAAATGCGCCTTCCGTCCCGGTCATTTGGCCCCTGTGTCAGCGATCCGGGCCAAAGACGCTCTAATTACAACATAACGGGACGGTTTTTGCGCCATATTCGTCTATAATCGAGTATTGTTATTTTCTTCCTTTCCTCCGCATTGTTCCTTTTCTCCTTTCATCTCTCCATCTTCTCCTCCCATCTCCCTGCATCATCTCTCAGGCTATATTTAGCGGCTAGACTGAGGCCTTGGCGCCAGACCGTTTAAGACCTGTCAAAGTCCCTCATATTTCCCCTTGTCACATGGAAACCCGGCGACCAGCGGCCCTCTCCTCCTCCTCCTTCCTTTCTCTTCTCCCGCTCCTCCTTCTCTCTCCTCCTCCTGTAACTACCAGCAGCTTTCCTCCTCCTCCTCCTCCTGCTCCTCTCCGGCTGCCTTTGCTAAATGAAACATATCACTTCTCACTTGTAGCAAAAGGAAAATGTTTCCTTAAGCCCTCCCAAACTCAAACACTCCCGCACACATATTATTTGGAACAATGCATCGAAAAAGATGTTTGCTTGTTTGTTTTTGGCTCTGAATATTACCGGATGCATCACAGATATGCTATTAAAATAATAATAATAATGATGAAATAAAAATGTCGCACCTTATACATGTTCAGTCATGAACTACAGCCACTCACATCCAGGGCTGAAGCCTTTTATTTTCCTTGCTCCCTTCTCATCTCATCTGCGTCCACGATGTTGAATAGAGGGGTTGAGGTGCGTCTGACTGACAGGTGGAACGCCAGGTGAGGGCGCTATGGTGACCCGAGGGAGCCAGAGGAGGGTGACAGAGCTGTCACAGCTACAGGCGTCACGCAGCAGACAGCCTCACAGAAATCTGAAGTCTTTCCGTTTCAGTACATTTAATCCCCCTGCTCATTTCAGCCATCTCAGTTCTGATGCTGCTGGTCGTCACGGACAGGAGACGTTTGGGTGGCGCCACAGGTGCACGGCGCGCTGCGCTCATGTACGTGTCTGACTCTGTCCAGAAATGAAAAAAGACGCGAATACAGGAAATCCAAATGATGACATCACCTGTTGCTGTTATTCTCAGGTAGAAAAAATAGATAAATACGAAATAAACTATGAATTAAAACGGGCTTCCCGGGTTACTACTTTATAGAGGAAATTTCTCGCGGATATCCGGGGGCGGATGTGAGAAATAATTTAGATTTCCCGAAGTAAATAGTCAAATATTAAAGTTTAAGATTAAAAAAAGTAATAATAATATTTGCACCTAACCTGTGTTTGTTATTCCGCTGGAATCTCCTGATATTGCTCCTGAAAATCGAGAAGTAACGGCGCACATACGGTGCAGTATGTCTGCACGTTATCCTTGAAAGGTACACAGTGTTACCCCGAGGCCCAATAATTAGCTCTGCTGGCTGGATTCTTCTGGATTGAACCCGAACGGACACAAATTATTTTTACTGTACTCGTGCATGCGCACAAATGTTTGTCAAAGCAAGTTCATCCTTATTTACAGCGATCCTCTTAAACCTGCATTTGATGTTTTACGAATCTTTCCGACAAACAACGTGACTGCAAAATCCACATTTATGTTTTTTTCTTTAAGCTTATTGTATTATTATTAGATTCATCCGCTCAAATCTAAACATTTAGGAAGTTCCATGTATTATTTGTAGTTTTTTAAATCAAACAAACAAGCAAACAAACAAACATTTGTTTGGCACATCGAGCAAACAATCGCTCAACTTATAATTGTATTTTTATTTTTAAAAACTACAGCAAAGTCTCTTTTTTGCGCGCAGTTTTACCAAATAAATCCAAGAAGGAGATTCCACTCTGTTTATGTGCATGCTTGTGGTTCGGAACAGCAGGTCTAAATTCATCCTAATCAGCAAACATTCGGGTATTTAACATCATCCAGCTGACAGCATTTATTACCATTTCATCTAAATCGAGGAGCATTTTTTAAACAGCAAAATAATCTTTTGTGTGTTTTGCAGATGTGTTGACAGCATGGAGAGATTAAATTAGCAGCTGCAGCGCCGGGAACATTGAATCATATTAAGGATCAGCAGCAGAGGAGCGGAGGAAGAGGAGAGGCTGTACCTGCAGGCCTCTGCTTTCAGGAACCCGGTACCGCAAAACATCAGGACATCCACTAAATAGCCCACAGAAAACCTCTCATCCAGGGCAGGGAAGTTTAAACAAATACGCTTTATTCTTATTTCGATTCTTATGAAAACACCTGGAGAATGAAAACGTTAAAACAGCCTGAAAATCACTTAAAACGCGACAGAAACAGCGAAGCTGCAGTAAATTAAAATCACGCCTGAACGACAGATATCCGAAATATCGTTTTATTTAACCTCTTGAAAGATCGAATTACGCACTGCATATGAATGACTCGGTCTGAATGAAACGAACCTGAAAAGTTCTGAATGGATGGCACTGCTGTCCCTCCTGCGGTCCCGCAGTGACGCTGTCACAGCGTGACGGTGGTCTTAAAGGGTGGCACGACAGGAGCCCGCAGGAACACCGAGTCCAGACTTTCCACACAGTTTCATTTCAGCGTTGCTTCATTTGAATTTTCTAATATTTATCCAGCTGACAGAAATTATTAGATCTAAGCCAGAAAACGAGGTTTCACACAGCTGCGCTGTTCAGCATCAGGGTTCTAACATATGGTTTGATGGGCCTGAATTAATCACTTGTTGCACACTAGTTAAAATCAGCAGCCTGTTTTCTCCACAATACTTCGGAAACAGCTCCGGTGTATTTTTAACATCACGGAATTCAGTCAAAATAAGAACAAAAAAAGAAAAAAACAAGAACGAAACTTTAAACATAAAAACATCTCATTTTCGTCCCTAAAGCACAGCCTGGATGTTTCAGTGTGAGCGGAGTCTTCCTCTGCTCAGTCCACCGCGCACTTTTTTTCAACCCTGTGCAGCTAAATGGAGCGCTTACTGAATGTGTCCAAAAACATATTTAGAAAAGAAATGAAAATAATACTCTCTGCAGAATGTGCGTTTAAAGCCCTCTCTACAGCTCTGCATGCATGTGTGTTTTGAATCCACGTCTCTTTAAGTCCCGTCTTAACGCAAAATTCAGTGTGTGTCGTTTAAAAAACTAGTCGAGTTCGTTTTTATTGAGGACGTAGAATCCACGCCAATACTGAATTCCCGAACAGTTGATTTGTAATTTAGAGTCACCGTCGGGAGCCAATTTACACTCTCCAACTGCACAGCCATACACGAAAGAACAGCGCTGTGTTGGTTTGTAGCTGAAGTGAAATGCTGAAGCCAGCTGGGAGTTCGTGGTGGTAAAAACTCAAGCAGAGAGACGGTCATGGGTTCAAATCTAATTTGCCTTGTGCACAACACAAACTTGGGAAAAGCTGCTGAGTAGCAACAGAACTCGCGGCCCAATGCTTTGCCTAGAAGGGAGCTTGTTACTGCGCACACTCGCTGTGTAACAGGCCTTCCTCCAAGAGTGAAACTGTGAGCTGCGAGGAACATTGCACACTTCAGAGAAGGCCAGCAGACCTCTTGCTCTTTATTCTGAAAATTATATTTTGAACTGCAGCTGGCAACAAGCAAGTTTATTGATAACCCTAAATGGAAAGTGGTGCACAGTTGTGCAACCGCATCAATTGTTGGCACTTGGCCTAAAGAATAACAAACTAACAACATCTCTGATGACCATAACGATGCCGGGATGATTCTGGGAAACTGTTCAGTGGAGCTGGACACTGATCTCACCAAAAACCTGCAGGACTCTTCTTATATTCTGCTGCCGGCTGCTGACCCGATTAGTTAATACTGTCACAGTCCTGCTGAATATTCACAAGTTTTCTTCTCTAATCACACATTTCCAAGCAGGAGCTCTGGTCAGAATCAAGAAATTTCAAAGTTTGAGCAGTTTATATGTCAGGGAGCCAACTGTGTCATCTTCACTGACTGAAATCAGGGAGCAGATTTAGGAGCTCAGTAACAGCACACATGTTCCTCTGAGTTCATGTAAACAGAGCTGCTCAAGTTCAGTGATTCAGAATTTCTTTCCGTGCACTCCTACGTCACTGCCCACTTGTTAGAAATCAATAATTGTTTACATTTAAAAAATTTTAGGGATTTTGGTGCGTGTGGAACTTTTGTTACACTTCACATGTGTCTGTGGTGGTGACGGACACTTCCTCTGTATTAAAATGTGCACCTCTGAAGATATTTAATAATGTAAAGTGTTTGCAAAAACATGATAAAATAAAATGACTTTCATTTGCAAACTGCTGTGTCCTTTCAGTTTATGTTGCTTAGTGCTGAAGTTCCTCTGGTGAAGTGGCACATCCTCCCAGCTTTGTTTCGTAATGGAATCTTGCACATCAGCCTAAACAAACACACAAAGGTTCACATTTATCCATTCAGTCTGCTCACGAACTCGTGCTGTAGCCATTTTCCTTTTGAAATATACACGAGCGTACGGCACGAGCTGTTGATGGTTACGCGTCTTTTCTCTTCAAGGCTGGGAAGCTTCCACTGCAGCTCACGGTGTTGGGAATGAGATCAATCGTGGCACATGAAGCACACACTGTTAATCTAATGTCATTCAGTTTAACTGTCCTCAGGTTTGTTTTTAGAATTAGAAGTTTTGCTGATTAACAGAGAAACAAACTCTCACTTCTCTCTCAGAACAAAGAGCATGAGTTGCCCATAAAGCGTCCTTTAACCACCCTTTACTGCCTGTTAAAAAAATATGGCACTAATTAGCAGTGGTACTGTGCGCTGATGGTCACTGCTGTGGTTGAAATGGGAACATTAGGAGCAATCAGAGTGAGGACAACAGACAGTTTCATTTTCTTCACTTTGTTTTTTTTTTTCTTGCATGAACGCAGGGAAAGAAGTCAATATTTCACAAATCCAACAACAAGAATAATAATGATGTTTTTCTTTTTTTTACTGTCCATTCAGTGTCTGAGAAAGCACATCGGACATGCAGGCAGTCCACATGTAGCACTGCAAATGACATTTCGAGCATTTTCTTGGGAGACGTTAACAGTGCAGTTATTTTCACTTTGGACAAACTGTCAGACAAACTCTTTATTTCTGCAGGCAAAGAAAAAAAACAGGAAAATATAGATTTGAAAGATCTTGAATAGGAAAAAGATTTTGGTCAAAAGTTGTTAATGTACAAAATTCGGCGTGACGACTACACAAGCCTCCGTTACTGCGCTCAATTAAAATTTACTATCTGGAAAGGCGGAGTGGGGAATATATCCAAATGATTTCAGAAACATCTCGATTACACTGTAAACATCTGAATTACTCCAGCAAAGCAGTAATAGTGTCATCTTGTTACTGCACCCTTTGTCAAATATGATTACATGAAAATCAAAGGCATGAAAGGAGCAAATTTAATCTAAAACACTGAGCGGGAGGCAGCGACGCTCTTACACGGGGAGAAGGAGCTCCCGCACGTCGCTGCCTGGAATAAACATTTCCTTTTTTTCCTCTGTCAGCACTCCCGTCTCCTACGCTTCATTCAGACAATGGGCGCACCTAACCTTCAAAAACACACACTGAGAACGACGGCAGTTGAGCGAGCAGCAGGCGACGAAGCAACAAGGTAACGAGCAGGGTTACGCTCTAATATTGAAAATAGTGGACGTTTCTCCCTGACAGCAGACATATCAAAATATTAAACTGTATTTTATCTGTTCTTTATTTAGCTTCCTTCTAAGCAGCTGCTCAAAACAGCTGCTACCCTTTAAATGAACAAGTTTCCAAAAGTCTGCAATAAACGAGTCCAGGTGTTTCCACCCAGACATGAGCACAATTCGAGAGTAAACAGCAAATCAGTGTTTTTGGAATGATTTGGGAATTAAAATGATCAGATTTGAATTGAGTGGAAATTGGCACAATTTTCAGCAGCTTGAAAATTCAACCCCAGAAATGAATGACCAGTGGCGGCCGCAGCTGATTGGCGAGCAGCCGTCTGAGACGAGAAGAAACGAAACAAAAAACAAAACGCATGCTGACCATAGAAACACAAATCTTTTGATTTGGACTCAATACACCGCATCGGTGCGTGAGTGTACGATGGTGGACGGGCAGGCAGAGCAGGGTGGGACGGATGCCAGCGACGAGGTGTCCTAGGGGAAGTTGGTGGGGAAGAGGCTGAGCGGCTGGCTCTCGTTGGTGGGCAGCGGCGAGCGGTAGCCCTCGAAGTTGCGTGGGATGCTGCCGCTGGTGGAACCTGAGCTGTTGCTGAGGGTCTCGATGCTTCCCTCCCTCTGCAGCTCTGCGGGGACAGTGAGACAGAACGAGAGAACGTAGAGTTAGAGCCAGCAGACAAAGTGGCTAATCAATAACTAGACCTTCGTGTGCCGCCTCAGTCTCCTTGTGGTTTATTCAGAACCACCGGAGGTGCAGCCCTCTTTCAGGAATACACCAGCTGAGAAAGAGTAAATAAAATCTACCGACAGCATCTCAGAGAAAGTTTTTACTGAAAAATGTCAAGTGACAAGACTTCACTAAGCTGGGCTGAGATGCTGCTCAGGTCCTGAGGAAGAGCGTTCACGCTGCTTCATTTGTGTCCAAGTGAAAACCCTCCTGACGGCATCGCCACACCCCGGCTATAGGACGTGTTTACTCAAAACGTTGATTGCATTTGCAGTTATGAAGCAACAGGAAAACACCTTTTTAATTCCACCAGTGTATTACAAACATATCGCTTCTTTGCACATTTAATTTTCCCTTTTATGACTGCACAAGCTAAACGGCCCTTATCAATCTTTCTGAATGCTCCCGCCACAGAGCACAGGCTTCTGTCGTGGTTTAACTTTAACCTACTGTAGTTTTTGTAGCTGGGCTTCCATCAAGTTTTCATGTTTAATGGGATTATTACCAACATTTCAGGGCAAGCACTGAGAGTTTTCCCTTAAAAGAAAATGTTTTGATAATCTACATCGGGAATTCTCACATTGTTGATGACCAACATGCTAAATGATGGCTGACTGAGGGCTAAATTCACACATCAAACACATTGTGAGTTCGTACCGTGTCTGCTCAGCAGATGGAGGTACTTTGGTTGGTGGTCTATGGATTGTATCATAATATTACAAAATCTACTTCTAATTATTTTCAAAGTATTTTAGCAAGACACAATAACATACACGATCAAGTCTAAACATTAGAGCAGATGTGAGTGTAACAGCACGAAACATTGGACTTTAACAGCTTCACTTTACAGAGTCAAAAAGGGATTTTCAGGCAGCACAGAGGTTCCAGGAGTTTCCCTTCTTATTGCTCCACCGCGATTACTCATGAGACCACTACGAACCTGCTTTTGTGTCAGACAGATGAAATCCACATCTGTGGGAATAACCCACAGTATGAGTGGACATCAGTTATTCTGGGACTCAACTCTCTGGGTGACACAGGGCATATTTCTGACATGTCGCATGGCTGCCCCCCTCCCAGCCCTTCAGCGTCCCTCACTGTGGAATGACCGAGCTACTTTGGTAAAAATCCCTCCATAAGGAACTTATTACTGTTATTAAATGCTGTAAAACATATCCATAGATATGTGGATGGGATGGCGTGCGCAAAAGCGGCAACGCAGTATTAAGACTGCGATGCATGCAGTGTGCAGTGACATCCATCAGGCTTCTAGCTGCGTTTAATCTGCTGTTGCTTCCCGGACGCTCTGCTGACACCGGTCGCCGCCCTGCAAACACACAGCACTGCGCATCTGCGACGGAGCATCGACAAACCGAGAGCAGGATTTGATAATGCATTTACAGGAGACGTGCGCATGCTCACGGCTCAGGCTGTAGACTAGAGACGATCAAATGTTCTCATCCGACAGACACTCAGCGACACGAAACATCACATTGGCAAGAGAAAGAAGGACTCGACGACTCAACGAGGATCAAACTGCAAAGCGTTATATTTACTAACTATTCTTTTGGTTTAGTAAATTATTGCTTCTTTACTCCTGTGCAGTGACTTGTTATTCTAACTGTAACAGACATGTTGACACTTTCAAACTCCGAGTCCTCTCCAGAACGACCTTCAGTATGAACAGAAAGGAGTGCTGGTAGGTACGAGATGTGTTTCGGTCATTCTTGTGTTAGTGACACAATGTTCTCAACCAGAGTGAAAATAAAGGTAAATACAGCTGTTTATAGGCGCTGCTGTGATCTGAAACTGTTGTCACTCCGAGTTTTTCCTGGGCCAGAACGCAACGCTCCGAATCCTCCAGCCGTTTGAAACTAACTGCAGAAAACGCTACTGACCTCGGGATGAACAAAAATCCTAATTTGCTTAAGACTGAGTTCAAATTCATAGCGCAGTGACATGAAACCACAGTTTAATGTGTCCCTGTGTCCTGCAGATGTTCAGGAGCTAATGTGGATGCTGTCTTTGTCATGGTGGCTTTGCAGGAAGTGGAAGCTTCTTACTTTAGCTCAGGAAACCTAAGACAAACCGCAACTGTTATTATCCCAGCTAACATGCAATGTGCCACACTGTGGCGAGATCCCAGCCTCTCCCAACCCCTTCCTCTTTAATTTCCCAACGCTGGGCAGAAATGCTGCAGTAATTCCAGGCAGAGATGAGAACTGCTGGTTTACACTGTTCTGGGTTCAGATAATATGGTACTGGTGATTTAATTAGTATCTGGGAAAACGGCGCTGCATTCACCGAGACATCAGCACTGCAGTGCCAATAACACTGAAGTTAAGATTTTAAGATTTTAAGAGGAGAAACTGGTGACGCTGGGATGGTTACATTGATATTGGTTTAAAAGGCCAATCTCCTTTTAATACACACTTTCTGTCTGACACATGAACACACAATATTGCAGCATACATCACAGCGTTGGGCTCCTGCAGGTGGACCCGAAGGAGTTCTACTTTTATTTTTTCACCCTACCAGCATTTCCATAGTTTAATTCTTCCTGTAAATCCAAAAAGCTCTGCTAATTTTATTTTTCCTTCATTCTTTCCACACTGCTGATCAATACTTCCAGGCTCTTACCTTACAGGCTAGCCTCAGTTACCCAGCTGGATCTGTGCTGCAGTGTTATTGAAGGCGATGTAAGCTGCTGAACACCCCAGTAAAGCCCTAAAGGCCTTTTCTAGTGCTGCCTAATCCACCTCATTGTGTGACGCCCACCAGCTATTCAACAAGTCTTAACCCCTCACGCCCCCAACACAATCCCCGAGCGCTCTAACGTCGGGGATCTTTTCCTCTGGGACTGATGTCACAAGGTAAAGTAA